TTAGGATGGTTTGATCCCGCAAGGGAGAATTCAAGAGGAGGTAGTCACTCACACCTTAGTGAGAATTAGGCTTCCTCCAGTGGCATCAGATTTAGAAGTAGAGGCGGGAGCCTTGAAGAACCTCATTTAGGGAGAGACTTGGCCAGCTGGCACAGTGGGGGTGGGGAGAAATGAAGAGTAGGGGATCTAAAGTGGGGAGTTACCCCCCACAAAGGGGACCCAAGCCTATGTACCCCCAAAGCTGTGCTTTCCCACGGATGTCCCCATCATGTCTGTCAGGAACTCAGACCCAGTACTTGTCATGAGACAGCTCTCTCATCAGCAGATCTGGCTCCATGGACCCTCTGGGCACCCAGAACCCACCTCGGGGTCCACATTCCAGACGCCGTCCCCCCTCCCCAACCACGTGGTTCTTACCAGGCACTTGCATCGGCTATCTCCCGCCTGCCTGGAGCTCAGGCCTCTCTCTGCTTGTTCTCAGGCTTGCAAAACTGCCCCGCCCCATGGATGCTGGCTGCCCTCCCCATTTGTGCCCCCACAGCATTTGTGAATTTTACTTGTGTTTAGAAAAGGTCTCTGTCTCGGTTAACTGCCGTGTCTTTTCTATATCCTCCTTTGACTACAATACTGTTGGTAAACAGTGGTGCTTAATAAATGTGTTCAGCTTGTGATCAATGAGCAAACTAAAGTCCAACTGACAGGTCAGAAGGCCAAGGCCAGACCTTCAGGGCAGAGCAGATCCAGTGCATGGGAACAGATGTGCCAAGCCAGGGATGGGGTGGGGTGGGGTGGGGGGCGGTGCTGGGGGCTGCACAAGGGGCCCGGGGAGTGGGGGTCTGGAGGCTTGGAGTGAACCCCCAGCCTTGGCTTTAGGAAAGGTACACATGTGGTCCCGAGGGGGCTTCTGAGACAGGTGTAAGGCTGCCTGACAGCCACTTGTTCCTCTGGAGCCAGCGTGGAGGCCCCCCCCTCCCCTCACTGCTCCAGCATGGAGGGCAGCCTGATCTGTGCAAGGCTGGATGGGAAGCAGGAAGGTGAGCAGATCAAGCTGTGGGCCAAATGCACTAGCAGGTGTCCGTGTGAAAATAACACCGACCTCAAGACACAGGGGTCAAGTTCAAGGAGAGGAAGGCTGTGCAGGGCACCTGAAAATCCATTAGCAGCACACAAAAGACTTCACTCGGAAAACAGGAGCAGGCTGGGCTCTGCCTGTGGCGGAGTGCCTGGTAGCACTGTGAAGTCCCAATGCCATCCCAGCAACCCAGCCTGAGACACCCAGTCCCATCTACCCAAGGACCACAGTGGCAGGAGGCACTGGCTTGTTGGAACCAGCTGTATAGAGTTTTCACAATCCAAAGTCACACTGGATCTCTGTGAAAAGTGCCTGCAGATGGCACCCAAGAGAGACATCAAAAGCTAGGAATCCAGGTAGGAAAGACCGCCCCCCCCCATACCCACATTTGAGGGAGGAAGTTGGTCAGGACTTGGGCGGTGGCACTGGGTACCTCTGGACCTGTTGTCCCAAGATGATCATGTGTGCCCTGGCACGCACAGGACACTTGTCCATGGATGTCCACAGCAGCTCTGCTTACCTTGATCCAGTCACTAAGGAATGCCTGGGCTCAGTGGGATATCCAGTCACGGGGCGACTCCCACAGCCATGGCACAGATGAATCCCAGAGGCCCAGATGAGGACCCAACTGAGACAGAGTTGGAGCTGCTCAGGAATTCAAAAGCTAGGAGCCTGTATCACAAAGCCAGGGCCCTGGTAACTTGGAGGTGGGGGCTGTATTTGGGGAAGGGTCTTGGATATTTGGGGTGGCCGGCAGCGGGTAGGTGGTCCCAGGCTTGCTCTAACTTCACAGCTAGTTCTGCAGTTGATCGCCAGCTTCGTGTTGCTTCTCTGGAGATGACCACATTCTATCACTTTAAGGACTTGCTTTGGGCAGAAGGCGTGGTCCCCAGTGAGGGAAATCTCTGGCTTGCTGAGTAACACCCCCCCCTGAACCTCAGGACAGAGGAGGAACTGCAGCTCAAAGAGGGGGGGGGGGGGGGGGGGGGGGGAGGAAGTGAGTGAGTGGGTGGGGGCTGCCTAAGATGGCAGCAGAGAGAGCCCCATGGCTACCACATATCAGGCGGCTGAAATGCAGGAACATCCTAGTGCTACAATGTCACAGAAAGTTTTACAGGCAGTTGGAGGTAGAGTGGCTGAGCAGGGATGGAGTGGCTGATCTGGGATGGAGTAGCTGAGCAGGGATGTACAGGACTTGGGGAGGGGGAGATGCTAGGCTACAGCCAGGCGGTCAGGTCATCAATAGGTGTGGCTGTGCACCTACTATGTGCCACTGGGCCCAAGGAGTCCTACTGTGTGCAAGTCCCTGCTAGGCACTGGGGCTCGTAGAAGGGAGGTCAGAGTCAAGTCTTGTTCTCAGGGTGCCCACCTACGGCACTAGGAAGGAGAGGGACTTCATTCCAGGCATCTGGGACAGGCCCCTGACCTCCACTCCCCATTCCTCCTCTGTCTGGTATTGCTTCCTGAGCTGGGAGGTCTCTGTACTCTTGGAGGGAGTCTTGTTTAACCTGTTATCCGGAGCCCTAGTTTAGGCATCCTAGGGATCATCTTCCAATACCTCAGGAGGCTAATGTCTCTAACCTCATACCCGGAGCATCCTGGGCAGACCTCACTGTCCCCTATCCCTGGCCCGTGTGCCTGCTTTGGATGGCTGGGTTGGGTCTCCGCATCCTGTAGAGGGCCAGGACGTCAGAACCCTAGTGAAGATGGTCATTAGAGCCTCAACGTTTTCTGTATAGCTAACCGAGGAGGGAAAAGGCTTCCTGGGCAGAGAGGACCATGGGGAAGTCAGTAATGTGCTGTGAGCTCCATGATGGGGGGTGAGAGGCAGGCAGAGGGGCAAAGGCAGTGAGAGCCCAGCTGATGATCTGCTCACAAAAGGCTGCCACCAAAGGAATACTGTAAGTTAGCCATCCAGGCTCAAGCCTGGGATAGGTGGGTGGAAGAGTGGGTGGGGCCGAGGCTAGACTTCCCAGAACTCAGCCCAGGTCCAAAGCCCAGGCTATGGCACAGAGAAATCCACATTCTCTGCCTGAACCAAGCTCATAGCACCTTCTGCCTGGATAACCAAGACCCCTTCACTCAATCACAAATACCATTCCTCTTACCTGGGACTGGGGGATTACCCCCTCTCCTCACTGGAGACAGTCTGTCTGGGACCCTGGTGTGTTCCTGGCCCCAGACTATAGACACCCCCTCCCCCCTCCCTTAGAAGGGACATTCATTCTGCAGCGGAGGAAACTCAAGATCCAGAGGAGGACTTGACTAAAAATTAGATCTGTGGGGCCCCAAATCCTGTGACTACCCTGAAAGGGGTCATGTGACTGGACTTCCTTAGCTTCTGGTTCTTTTGGTCCTCAGGCCCAACCCCTAATGACCAGGCAGAAACCCACTGTGGCTCTCGGTATCCATACCATCAAGGAAGGAACGTTCTGGAGGAAGCTGTTGTGAGCAGAGAGCTAGAGGGCCAGCAGCTGACAACAATGGACCCCTCCCCAATCCCAGGGGGTAGGACCCCACCCCCACCCCAATTCCAGGAGGCATAGTGAGTCCCATCTTCAAGACCCCACCCAGTCTGGAAGGTCATGTGATCCAATTCAGCCTAGGGTCCCAGGCCCTAACCACTGCCCCCAGCCCTCCCTCCCCTTTCAGTCCAGGACAGGACATCTGCCTACCCATGCCCCCAGTCAGGTTGATCAGACCCCAGGTTCAACACGCAGACCACACTCAGGACCCTCGGCTGAGCATAAGGAGAGGGAGAGAGGAAGAAAGCTTAGGGAGTCCATCTGGTTTCTGGAAACCTCCGAATTTTTTTCCAGTCCCAGTGGGGTTGAGCAGTGTCCCCTCGAGGCCTCAGTGTGGGGGTGACGATGAGTAATAGCCAATGAGGGGCACCAGCGAGGGCCCTGGCCTGGGGAGGGAAGCCTGGGTTTGAGTCTGAGGTCATTGCAATGACCATAGACAGAAAATGGCTCTCTAGGCCTAGATGCCTCCATTTTGGGCCTGGACTATGCCAGGTGGGCCTTGGCCCAATGACATCAGCTTTTTCCTCTGAGGTCCCAAGAAGCTGGACCCCTCCCAGCTCGGGATCTGCTGATCCCAGACCCATGATTCTCTGTTCTTGTCTCCAGATACCTTGGGTATCCAAGACCACTTACCAGTATTGAAGGTCAGCTGGGAAGGCCCAGCCCCTCCCCTAGAGCCAGGCCCTACCTTGGGCCAGGCCTGAGCTTAGTCAGGCCCTACCCCTCAGGGACTGATGGCCTGCTACCCAGTTCTTTCGATACTGACAATTTTGGCCTTGGACAAGGGGACCAAAAGACCCTTTAGGCAAGAGGCGAGGGCCCCGAACCCAGCACCAAAGGGCTGGGCCTGATGACCACACTGCCTGGGCCCTGGCTCGGGAGAAAAATACTGTGGGGGGGGGGGGGGGGGTGTTGTCCGAAGGATAAGGGCGACATCTCCAGAAGCCGCGAATATTCAAATAGGCTGGTCCCTGGCTTGCCGCGCGGGGCCCCTAGGAGCCCGGGCCCCCGCTCTAAGTTGGGGTGCGCGGGAAGGCCTTTGGGGGTGCTCCGGGCCGCGGCCGCGGGGTTCCCCCAAAATGGCTCCAATACTCGGGGCCTGGGAAGCCGCGCGGGCTCCATCCCTGCCCGTCGCCATCGGCGCAAACTTCGCGACCCCGGCCGAGACAACTGTCGGCTCAATGGCGGGGACGCGGCACCAGGGTCCTGGGGTCCCAAGGGGGTAGCGCGCGAGGGCCTCGGGGACCGGCCCATGATGACGCCCCTCCCGCGGCCGCCCCGAGCCCCGTGCGCTGTCCCCCGCGTACCCCGACCCGTCACCCGTGCCCATCCTGCGCCCACCCGACCCCGCCGCACCCCCGGCCCGCCCCCCCCCCCACCCCTGGCCCGCCCGCGACACTCACCTGAGTTTCTCCATGTCTGCGGCAGAGGCCTGCGGAGAGCAAAGGAGAGGGTCAGCGCCCGGCCGGGCGCCCCACCGGCCCGTTCCGTGGGCAGCCCCACGCGCGCCCCAGCCCGTACCCCCGTGCCTCAGTGGGCGCGCCAGGCCACGGCCGTGTAACAGGTGAGCCTGCCCGGGCCGCCGCCGAGTTACGCCCCCCGGACCGAACCGGGGACCGGTCGGGGACGCAAGGTGCGGCGGCCCGGGCGGCTAGCGGCCTCGCTGGCAGAGGGGCCCCTCCGTGCCCGTCGACTCTGGGACGGCCACAGCCCCCGCTGCTCCCCAGCCCGCCGTTAACCCCTGCTGCCCGATTCCCTCCCTCTGTCCCTCCCGAGCCCCGCAGCGCAAGAGCGCTGAGTCGCTAGAGAGTGTTGGAACGGCGTACCCGGCCGGCGCTCACGCAGCCCGAGGGGAACGGCATCGGAAGCAGGCACTCTGGTCCCGGCCCGGGACCCTGCTGTCTCTGATCCTGGGGTTCGGGGTCTGCCCCCCCTTCTTGGCCCGAGGGATTAACCCCGGCGCTCCCGGTTCTCTGGTGGGCTTCCGAGCTGCTGGCGCAGACCTGCCCGCGCTCGGCGTGAAGACCCTCTGAGCCGGACGGCACCTGCACACGTCCGGGACCCACAAGCCCCTGTTAACCCTGCGGATTCCGGCAAACCCCGGGGACGGCGAGCGGCCCGAGCGGGATCGCACTTCCTGCGCGCGAGCTCTCCTGTGCCCGGCCGATGCCGTCCCCGGGGTTGCCCCCGCCCTCCTTCTAACGGCTGCGCTGGAGACTGAACACCCGGACGACGCCACAGACCTGAGAAGACTGATGGCTGCCCATCCCGGACCCTCGCGCCGGGCGCCGCGCCGCGTCCGCCGGGAGCGCGCTCCGCTCACTCCGGGCCCCACGCCGCCTCCCCCACCGCCCCGCCGAGCGAGGGCGCAGCCCGGCCTCGGAGCCTCGGCAAGGCTCGGCCAGCAACTTCCCCGGCGCCCGAGCAGGCCTCCCCTGAGCTCCCCCAGCCTCAGTTTCCTCTCCTAAAATCTGGAGGAGGGAAGGCGGGGAGGCGCGGGAGGGAGGGGGAGTTCGGACAGGCGCTCTGCTGCCCTCCAGCTCTGACGGCTGCAGAGGGGCTGGCTTAAGGAAAGGACCCCTGGGGCGCCCAGTGGGCTCCCCTCCCCAACACTTTAATAAAAGTTTACAAAAAGCATGAGCCCAGACCCTCTTCTACGAGTCCTCCTTCAGGATCAGAGTTCTCTAGTTAAGAGTTTGACGCATACCAGCACGACCCCCAACGCCCCTCTTCCCCAGGCCCACCTTTCCGAGTCCCCATCACAGCGCTCATCTCCTGAACTGGGTCCCAGCATATAGCAGACGCTCAATAAACATGAACAGTGCATGCCTGGGTCCTATGGCACCGAAATAAGGCTTCTCCAGCCTTCCCCGGGCTGACTGTGAGTTTCCACGCAGGAGCCCCGGATCTCCCCAGGACACCCAGCACCCAGCAGTCTTGGCCTCCTCGAGCCAGCGCAGGGTGGGAGGAGCCGTCCACTCGCAGGGTCAGAGCCAGCCAGGATGAAACCAACCCCCCCAATCCAAGTGTTCATCTACCCATCCATCCACCAATGGCTCCCCACTCATTCGGTGGCTGGCAGGGATTCTACCACCGGGGAGGAGCGCACGGGAGGGCAGCAGGCTCTCCAGGAGCTAATCTGGAGGCACACCTCCACCCCAAGTTTGAGGTCCATCTTAAGGAAAGCCACCTGCCCCCGCCCAGGGCAGTAGCTCCTTCCAGCCATCAGGGCCCTAGATCTACAAGAAGCTGGGCCCTCAAGCTGACAGGGCTTGTTCGGGTCTGGACGCCATTCCTAAGAGGCCTCTTCCACCCAAAGGCAGGGGCCATCCCTCATCTGTCTTCGGCCTCCTCAATCACTCACAGTGAATGACCTGCCGGGGCATTTGTCTGGAATTAATAAGAATGTATTAAAATTTAATTTTAAAAAGCTAGCATCAATTATTTACATTGACTATTTCAGCTCTTCTAGAAGGCCGGTCTGGGAACCCCCACCTCCCAAGGGACTGGGAGAGAGGCAAGGGAGGTGGTGGGTGGCTTTGTGGCTAGGGTGGGGGCTGGGCGGGGCAGGAGACAATGGGAACTCAGGCCTTGCCCTTTCCTTAGCTGTTTCTGATTCTGGCTCCTGGCTTTGATCCTCCTCTGACCCAGGGCCACCGGTGGGTCACCATGGCCCTGGCCTTTAACAGTCCACCTCCACAAGCAGCTCTGCATGTGGGGTAGCTACTGGGTTTAGTTGCAGCCAGACAGAGACCCATGTCTTTGCCAATGCCGTCCAGAGCAGCCTGATTTGGTGGAGGAGGGGCCTCCAGGCATGGAGTTTCAGGGAATTGGGGACCTGAGGCTGGCCCTCCTGGGACTTGGCATGGTGCAGTTCAAGTCTTGTGCTTGCCTTCAGTACCTCAGACCCGGGGAAGCATGGCCCAGGGGACCTTTGCTTTTTAACACCTTCAGCTGAGCCTGCTTGAGGATGCACCTCTCTCTCAGGCACCTGCCACCTCCTGCAGGGCCCTCCCTATCACATGTCCTGAGCCCCAAGGCGGGCTCCTTCTGACGGGGGTTGGGGGGTGCATCTTCTTGACACCTGTGTCTTTATTTCCTGCAAAACCCTCATGAGTCAAATGCAAAATGACAGCGGCCCAGAGGCTTGCCTTGCCTTGGCACCCTCCCCCTGTCACCTAGGCATGATGGCTGGCATACCCCACGTACTCCCTTGAGGAGGTAGGTGGCGGTGCCGTGTTGAGGATTGGAACACTCAGTCCTGCCTAGCAGAGACCCTATCCTTCCCCACACAGGCCACCTAGCCAGCTAGTTTCCTGTCTCAGGTTCTTTGTACTTCTAGGATGCTATATGCCCAGACCTCTGCTCAGGCAGCTGATGCCTTCTCCGGCTACCCGGGCACCACAGAACCCTCCACCCTGGTTACTAGGTCCCTGAGGCCAGAGCAAGATGGCATTGCAATGCACAGGTAAGGGACAGTCTGTGTGAATGAAGGTGCTTTTACCCGAGCCCTCCTGTCCGTCTCATCCTCCATAAGCCCTCCCAGACCCTCCCTGAAGCCTGCCTCTGCTGCTGCCAGCTGGAGGCCTGGGCCCCGGGGACCCAGCGAATAGTTCTGTCCATTGAAGACATTCCCTGCTCCACACACACCTGAGGTACATACTAAAAACACTTCAAAGGAGCAAGTCGGGGTTGGGGGGGGGGGGCTGCATCAAGCCTGGGCTCTGGACTTAGCCTGAGACCAGGGCTCATTCTCGCCTCTCCTTCCTTGGCTAGTTCTCTTTCACTTCCATCCTAACAGTAGCTGAGGAAACAGCCTAAACACCCGGGAGAGGGGCAGGGTCTACCCCTCACTGACTGCAATGGGGGAAATCTCCTCATTAGCTGTGCAACCCCAGGCAAGGCTCTCTCCCTCTCTAACCTCCATGCTTCATCTAGGAAGAAAGGATGGTAACTCCTCTGGGGGATGCTTTGAGCAACTGGTGGCCCTGTGGAAGGAGCTATTGAGATGACTAGGCTGCAAAGGGTGCCTGCTCCAGAGAGTCGGCCTTTATATGGCTATTTGGGGAAGACTTTTCCCATGGGATCTTACTTTGCTCCTGGTATTCCTGCATTCATTCAACAAACATGGGGTGGGTGCTGAGACCAGCTATTGGGGAAGGCAGTGTTTACCCCAGCTGGGAACACTCCTGGGAACACAGCAGAAGCTCCTGTGTCAGGCCAGGTGGGGACCAGGTAGAGGTGGAAAGGCTCTTGGACACAGACTGGCTAGAGAGTGAATAAGGGAGAATGGGACTCCAGTCTAGAGGGTCTGAAGTTGCCTGCATGGTCAGTGGAGGCATGGACGGAGACACGGGAACCTGGAGTTGGGGAACAGGGTCAGGAAATGCACATCTGGGAGTGGCCAGACCAAAGGTGGCCCTTAAGACCCCCACACTGGTCAATGCAGCCAACAGAGGTCACAGGAGCCAGGAGGGTACCTACAGGCTCCATGGGGAGTCTCTAGGAGGAGAGAGAGGTCATCTTTGTGTCATGGCTGGGTCATAGGAGAGTCTAGGACAGGATCTAGCATCCTTAGGCAACCCCCAGGGCTTTGTCTGTGCTGTGGGGTCCCCATGGCAACCTCAGCTGATGGGGGCAAGGAGAGTGGCCCATTCAAGGCTGCCTGGCAAGTTAGCCTGGCTTGGCGCTGTCCAAAGAAGGAGACAAGCCATCCTTCTTGGGTACGGTAGGACCCTGCCTCCTTGGGCTTCTTTTGGGCTTTGTGGGGCTCACAGGGATCCCCCTCCAACCCCACTGCATTCATCACCCAGGACTGCGCCTGTGAACTGGCCTCCTAGGCTAAATCTGGCCTGCTAGCATGTTGTATTTGGCCTGTTTGAGGTTTCTTTCTTTCGTTCTCTCTTTCTCTCTCTCTTTTTAAGTGTTTGAGCCAACATTTAAAAATTGGAAGAGTTTACATTTTAAAATCCGTATTTTTGGCTTCTACTGAAAAATTTGGAAGATCTAGCAACTCCGTCCCACATTCCCACATGGTAGGAGACAAGGAGCATGAAGCAGCTGCCCTTTGGAGGCACCCAGGGCGCTGTGAGGAAGGCATTTTCCAAACCTGTGGGCAACCACTTGCTCAGGTCACTCAACATCAAGCATGTTGTCACAACTCTACCCTACCATGTCATTGGCTCGGTGCCTCTTGATTTCTTTTTGGTACTTTGATTCTCAAAAAGAAAAAAAAAGGTTGACTTTTAAGTCCCTCACAGTAGGGTATGAGTGAGCCTCAGTCCCAAGTCTGTAGCAGCTTCAGTTTCCTGTGACCTTCCACACTGATTTCTTAGTCATTGACCCGGGGACACTCACCCAGACAGGACAAAGGCAGTACTAAGATCCAGCACTGCAGGCTAGTCATCCACTCTTTCTCCAGAGGAGCTGCTGAAGGCCAGGCACTGGCTCTCACAGATGGGTTTTCAGGCTGGTCCCACCTCACCACGTACTCTTGGCCTAACAAGTCCCCAAGAATCTAGGCTGCAACCCCTCCTTCTAACTGTGGAGCGTTGGGACAGAGCCTTCCAGAAGCCTGAGTGTCAGCAACTCCCCTGGGGCCATGGTCCTCAGAGAAAGAGAGAGAGAGAGAAAGACAGAGACAGACAGACAGAGATAGAGAGACAGAGAGAGGGTGGGGGAGAAATGTAATGTCTACAGAGCCCAGAGCTGCAGACAGTGGGGGTCTCAGACAGTTGGTAGTGTCTCATGGGGAAGATGGGGAGAAGAGCATGAGCCAAGCGCTGCTGGGAAAACTGAGGCTCAGGGAGGCAGGAAGACCCATCCAAGCTGGCCTTGGTGGACCCTGGGGGAGGCTTTGGGGACCTCTGAGAAGCAGAACTCCATGTCCCCCTCCTAGGACCGGCCCTGGAGGCGGGCCACCTGGAGGCCATGAGGACAGACCGGAGGCTCACTGTAGCTGTGCTCTGCAGGGTCCTTCTCTGCACATTGAGGGATATAGAATGAGATAGTACAGTCAGGAGCTTAGAGCAGGATGAGCCAATAGACACAGACCTCTCCCTAGACCGTTAACTATCCTGGTAGCTACAGTGCTTTGCTAATGGAGTCAGCTGAGATGGGATCAGAACTGGAGAATGAATACTGACCTCAGTACATAGGGTATCTTTAGGAGCCACCAGCCTGTGGTGAACCAGGATGGCTGTTGACCCAGCAATGTTAATGTTGTTACTAGCATTGTTTACTCCGAGCCCAGACCCCACCCGGTTTGCTGCTCTGAAGCCAGAACATTCACTTTCATCTTAGTGATTCATGCTTTGGCTGCTTACGGTCTCTGATACAATCATATAAA